TTAAGTATAGAATTTTAACTTCTGGTAAATATTGAAAGATGTTGCTTTGTACGTAGGCATTTATAGGTAATTTTTATTGCCTCCTCCAATAGCTCTGTGCTATTTGAGTCAGTGTTAGCAAAAAAATCTTAATAACAGAATAAGTAACCATTATTGTTTCTAGTACAGAAAATTTAAAGCACATAGTCAGTCCTCCAAAGTTTAATAATTATTCTGCTTCTACAAAATATGCTGGTATTGTATATGCCATGGCTTTGATTCTCATCACCTTATAACATATTTGAAAGGTTATATAAGCTGCCAGATATTCCAGCGTTGCTAAATGAGTTCCTGAAAACATCAAAGCCAGGTATCAAAAGCCAGCTATATTTTGTGTGCCTGTGAAATTTCTTTAGCAGCAGCAAACATACCCCATCTGTCATGCCTGTCTCAAGTCTGTAGGAGAAGAGCCTTAACACTCTCTTCATATTGCATTTGATCTTTAGCCTTCTATCAATATGACCCTCAGTTTGGGGAGACATTTCATTTTATATCATAGTAATAAAATAAGAGGACCTATTAATTGTGTCAGGTTAGTCTAGCTGATTAGAACAGGTGTTATTGAGGTCACAGGTTTGTCCTTGTAGAAACCAGTTAACTCTTACAGGCAGGAAGCCACAGTGCCAAACTCTAACCCATCCAGTTAAAACTGTAAAGAAGTAGGATCCAGAAACTTATTCTTAATTGACCTCTGCTAAAGTCTGATTTCTATATTTTATTTACATCATCTTCCCATTTAAATGTGTTCCACCTCCTACAATTCCTATCTCATTTAATGGCACTGTTAACCAGTCACCCAGACCAGAAACATAGGACACATCTTGAACTCATTCTACTCCCTTCAGTCCCACATGTAATCATCCTTCATGCAGTTAGGTTCTAACTCTTAAGTACCCCTGAGCATCCCTTGCCTCCTCCATTTTCTGTCATCGTTTGTCTTAAGAGCAATGCTAATAGCTGTAGATGGCTAAGCATAGAATAATAAATATTAAAGCAAAATAAGTGCCTTCCCCACCCTTCCTCAATCTTTCCCCACCCTCCCCTTCCAAAAATAAACAAATCAGTCCATACCACTGCTGCTGGAGTGACCTTTATAAAAGGCAATCTGAATCTTGTTGAAAATCCACCAGTGATTCTTACTGCCCACAGAATCAAATCCTAACCTCTTAACCCAGAATACAAAGCTCTTCATTATCTGGCCCCAGCCAACCTATCTGTAATCCAGTTTTTTATCTTATCATCCCCCTCACACACACATACACCCTGACCTCCCATATGAACTACAAGTGCTGCATGCTCTTGGGTCCCTCCTGCCTTGCTTGGTTAGCATCTACACATGTCACTGTGCAAGTGGTGTCGTGCCTCCCATTGTCTGCCTGGTGGTGGCCAGATTTGGCTCTCATTTCATCTACTCTGGGATACCTCCCTTGACCATATTTCCTGACCCCTTTTTCAGCAGAGGTAGCTCTCTCTCTAAAATGTTCCCAAACCACCTTTGTGTCACATTTCTTACTATGCCACAGGGTTTGTCTTTTCTGTCTCTTCTTCCACTGACTCTGGCATTTTGTTATTGTTGCTCTTCCACACAACCCTTTACTTGTAAAATTTCATATTATTTAAATTGTTCCTAGCTTTTTTTTCTTTTACAGAAAGTTATCTTGGATTGATAAAGTCTCTTACTTTTCCTAACCTTTTCCATTTTTGGATGCCAGTAACCACCTCCTCTCTCATAATTCTGTCTGCCTATTCTTTGTCCTCTTATTCCAGGATTGTACTTGCTGCTGATGAATATAAATAGGCAGATGCACTGCTTCTTTGGTTTTTCATTTCTCTCAAAGCCATTGAAAGCCAGGGACTACATCTGTTTAATGCTTTGTGTGTTGCCTAAAACAGCCAACCATCACTATTACCACACACATGACTTATAACTGCTTTCTGATAATAGAAAACAATGGTTTGATAAAGAAGAGTGGTAAATGTTGAACATTTACGCATTTGTACTGATGCAGATTGAGGAGGGAAAAAAACCTCTTGGCTTTGGAGTTTTTAGGCATTACTTGTTTGTGGGAGAGCAGGTGGTAAAATTGATCTTATAAAAAGATAATTTAATGTTTTTCAGATTTGTTGTTTTGTCTCTGTCAAGTCTAGAAAAGCATATTGAAAATCAAATAGAGCTAAAACAGTACTTTGATACATCAATGCAAGGAACATTTGGTTGTAGTAAATTAGGATTTGTCATAGAAATTTCATAATGGCCAAAGGACTGAAATGCACAGAGAATGTAGCAAAAGCTGCAGTTTTAGATGTCTTTATCATGCAAATCATTATCTATGAAGTCTTAGTAATACAGGCTTAAACAAAAATTGCTAGAATGATGTCCAGAATAAAATCTGATACTTTAATAGCAAAAAGCATTGGCTGTGTATATTATAATGCATGTTAACCTAATGACTGCTGTTCTAAGAACTCCTTAGAAAAATCCTGAGGATTTATTAACTCATAATTGGGAAAAGTTTTTGGTAAATAAACATAAAGCAGGAAAATCTACTTAGAAATTGGCAATGATCTTAAGAGGGAAAAAGAGCCAAGAGTCTCTTGGCTCTGTGATAACATCACACTCTCCTAAAGTTAAGCCCTGGCCGGTGTGACTCGGTTGATTGGAGCATTGTCCCATACACTAAAATTTGACAGGTTCGATTCCTGGTAAGGGCACATACCCAGGTTGTAGGTTCAGTTCCTGGTCGGTGCGTATAGGAGGCAACCAATTGATGTTCTTCACATCACTGTTTCTCTCCCCTCCCCCCCCCCTTCCTCTCTCTAAAATCAATAAAAACCATACCCTCAGGTGAGGATTTAAAAAAAAAAAATTATTCTAAAGTTAAGTGAAAACTGTTTACAGCAACTTGATGTGGTGTTTAGGCATAGGAGTTTGTTTTCGGTGTTGTTTCTCTTTTTTTCAAGGATTTCCCAGAAGTATTTTTTCCTCTTTGATTGGATATTCCTATTTACCATAATTTTTTTAATAATCCTCACCCAAGGATATTTTTTCATTGATGTTTAGAGAGAGTGGAAGGGAGAGGGAGAAACAAACACTGATGTGAGAGAGAGACACCAATTGGTTGCCTCCCACATGCCCCCAACCAGGGCTGGGAGCCTGCAACTGAGGTATGTGCCCTTGACTGGAATTGAACCCAGGACCCTTCGGTCTATGGACCAAAGCTCTATCCACTGAACCCAACCGGCTAGGGCTACCATAATTGTTTTAAACAAAGCAGTATCCAAATGTTATTTTAAAATACACTTTATTGTCTTATCCTCATTTTATAATTAAAATTATATGTTCTTTTTAAGACCTTGTCTTAACTAGTTTGTACAGTTTCTGAGCAAGAAATTAAGGATTTTGGAAGCTCTTTGGGAATTTTTAAAGACCATACTATTTTTTACAAGTTATGTGCTTCATGGCACTGTCATTTTGGTTTATGACTTGAGTCTTTGTGTGTGTGGTTTGTTTGTTTTTAATATAGAAGCTGATTCACTAATTATGAATATTGGGAAGGTGGGTGAAAAATAGATTTACTTTCCCTGACATTTGTCAGGGGTGTTTATTGAGAGATGTTACCAGGTATTCATGGGGGAAAGGGAGAGCATTGTCATAGGTTTGGAAGAATACTTTATAGTCCTTATCATGGTACTTCAATGTCTACCTTAGTATATTAAAGGGACTGAGGAGTGGCCACAATATATAAATGTTTAATTTTATAAAACCACTTTTTTTCAAACATTTGACTGCAGAATGCTTTTTGCACAGAATACCTAGTAACAGTCCTTGAAACATGTTTTTTAAGGGCAGAGTTTAGGAAGTATTGGACTAACCAACAAAACGCATAGGTCAAAACTAATACCCTTTTCAAAATCCCAATTTACAACAAGGAAATAATTATTGGGCATATCTGTCCAGACATCTGGATTTCACATGAGCCAGTCTTCCTGAGTCCACTGGATCTGGAGTATCCTGTGTGTCATAGACATCTGTTTCGAAATCTGTGGTGGAAAAGGGTGGAAGTACATCTCTGATATTATTTTATTATATATTTAACACTTTGTTTTCTTAGGAAAATTTTGAAACATACAAAAAAAGAAAGAAGAGCAATGAACTGTTTATCAGTTACTGAAAATAATGGTTCAGATGTTTTAGACACTAGATGAAGTTCCATTTAAAAAGAAACAAATATTTTAATTGGACCACCTTTTATAAAATTTATTTCTTAAGTGATTCTGACTCATACAGTGGATATTTTCCTCAACAGTATTCAGATGTTTTACAAAGTGCTGATACAGCAGCAGCAGACCAGATAACAAAAATAATCTCATAGCTAAACCTCATAATCAAATCATTTTTCTCTTCATGTTTTGCCAACTCTTTTTTCGTCCACAGGATAAAAAGTAATATTGATGGTGTGTAGATTAGCAGTACTGACCTCCTGGAGTCATTTTATTACCACCACTGCCCCCCTCTGCCCCCCTGCCCATCAGACAGTATTGTGTATTCCTACTTGTCTTAGGTAAACTGATGTCTCTGAAAAACACAACAAACCAAAACAAGAGACGTTTCTTTTGTTTCTCTGTCTTCTTTGTCAGTGTCATCCTGAGTCTGACTCTCTGATTGGCTGACACCAGGGTTTGGCTCATCCCACTGGTGGGGAGGGTAAGATTGTGTTGATTGGTTTAGGTCAATGATGGTGTGGGATATAATCAATTCTACCATACCTTCATGGCCTGGAGATTTTTGTGTAGGAAATGGGGAAACAATCAGTAATGCCCTTTACTCTGAATAAGACCACTTTTAAAAATTTACAACATATGCTATATTAGTTATTTTTAATATCCAATGAGATGTTTAAATATTTATATTTTGTAAATGTATTAATATTAACAAATCCTTTTTTCTTGGGTCTTTTTAGAGGACAAGAATTTTGGGCAGATTTGAATGCCATGAATGTGTATGAAACAACTGAATTTGACCAACTACGAAGGCTGTCCACACCACCCTCTAGCAATGTCAATGCTATTTACCACACAGTCTGGAAATTCTTCTGTAGGGACCACTTTGGATGGAGAGAGTATCCTGAGGTATTTAAAGGCCTTTTAAATCCCCAAAAGTACATTTAAACTTTTTTTGTCTTTCATTGTTCTTTTGTTCTTCCTTTCTAACTATGACTACACAGAACTACAAATCAAAGAGCTTCTGGTTATAAAATTCAGTCTTGTTGGTATAAGTTACACTTTTCTCTCTTGATTTTTCTAAAAATGTATTTTTCCCATTAAATCCCTGGAATCCATAAGTAGAATACCTCTATTATTAGAGAGATAAAATGTTTCCCCAGTATCTTATATTATGGAGAAAAAGTATTTAGAGTTGTAAGTACTCAGACTCAGAGCAGTTTTTGGAGTAATTTTAATGAGGTGAGTACTGGTGTAACTTTGGTTGTATCTGGCTCATGGTGATTAGATCATGTGTTGTGCTTGTAGCATTTCAGAAGTATAGTGGGAAACAATCACTCTTAGGCCTCTGAAAGAAGTATTGAAAATGTTCATTGAGCTGTGGTCAGGCACATTAGTCATTTAAAATTGTATCAAATGGCCCTGTCCAGTTTGGCTCAGTGGATGGAGCGTCGGCCTGCGGACTGAAGGGTCCCAGGTTCGATTCCAGTCAGGGGCATGTGCCTTGGTTGCAGACACATCCCCAGTGGGGGGTGTGCAGCGGGTGGCTGATCGATGTTTCTCTCTCATCGATGTTTCTAACTCTCTATCCCTCTCCCTTCCTCTCTGTAAAAAATAATAAAATATTTTTTTAAAAAAAATTGTATCAAATGTGCACATGCATCCTTAGTTTAAGATGATAAGAATAGCTTATCACAAAGCAAAATTTTAAAATGGTGATGGTTTATTTGCCTCTAAATGAGAATTCCAAATCAAGTTTAAACACCCTGAAATGGAGATTTATTTCTTTAGAGACTTTAGAGATTTATTTCACATTCCAAAGATCTGACTTCAATTTGATCAAATTTCCAGCATACAAAAAGGGCAAACTAACTTAACTACCTTAGGTTTTCTTTTAAGGCAATAACTAAAGAAAATAACATAGTATTTTAATTGCTATAAAACACAATATTAAATTACAATTTTGGCTCTCATTTAAGTAATCACTAGTATCTAATGCCTTCCAAAGAGAACAAGAGGCTATTTAAAAAGTATTCTCAGAATACTTAGACTGTCCCTTCGTTTGTCCTCTGAAAGATTTTTTAGGTTTGGAATTTACTTATTTGAACACTACCATCTTTAATCCTCTTCTGAAAATTCCCTTAAGAAATATAAAAAATCTCTTTTCCTCTTCCGGGGATGGTGTCCTCGGGCATTCAGAATAGTTCAGTGTTTGACACACTGTCCTACAATGCAGCCTCTAACAAAACTAGACTGTCCTGAACCCCTGCTGTTTGTTTACCTTTATACCAAGAAGGTTGGGAAAGCACCAAAATCTGCATGTGGCCTGTGCCCTGGCCAACTTCACAGGGTTTATGCTGTGAGACCTAAAGTCGTAATAAGGTTGTCTAAAATGAGAAAACATGCTAGCAGGACCACCAGTGTCCAGGAGCAAAAAAAAAAAAATCATTGTGAAAGTGTTGAAAGCACTAGCACAGAGTGAGAAAACTAAATTTTTTAAAAAAATGAAGCTTTTTTTGAGTAAAACAATTAGAAGGCTAAATTGAAAAAGAAACGAAGAATATTTAGGACATTTTTAAGGCCTCAAAATAGAATAGAATAGTTCCCTGGGCCTCACATGTTTCTTAAGGTGGAAATCTGTGTTCTTCTAAACAGGGATCATCTTTCTACCCTGTATCTTTGCTCCAAAAAAGAAAGGAAAAAAATTTCTATGTATAAAGGGAATTAATTTGACTCACTTTACTTTATTGAAACTCTTCTGATATTAACAGCAAGGTTAACTATGTGTGGCTTTAGTGACATTAATAGTTTTTATATTTCATAGTGATTGTATATTAACTTGCTTTTTTTTCCCCTTTACCTTCTGTTTACTAATCCATAGACTGTTATTCGATTGATTGAAGAAGCCAACTCTCGGGGTCTGAAAGAGGTCCGATTTATGATGTGGAACAATCACTACATTCTCCACAACTCATTTTTCAGGAGAGAAATAAAAAGGAGACCTCTCTTCCGCTCCTGTTTTATATTGCTCCCATATTTACAGTAAGTGTCCAGTGAAAAGTCTCATTTTTCTCTGATTTTACGTTAATGTACAACTGTATGCCAAAGAAAAAATAATTAAATAACTAACTTGGTTATTACCTCTAGAATGTGAAATTCTAAGCTATTCTTTGGGCTTAATTTTTCAAAAAATAGAATTCAGACAAGATATAGTTAACCTGACACTAAAAGAGTGAGTATTGTATTAAATTTTTTAAATGAAAGCACAGTAGAATTAACATTTTTTCACAATGAAAAGTAATTATACCTGGAATAAGGCAAAATTTGCATATGCCGCCTTCATGCAAGATTGAGTTTTCTGATGATACGCTTCTGTGTTATGGGACTACTTCCCAGTCCTGGCAAACTAACAGGTCAAGTAGGGAGAAACCTTCAAGGTGATTTTCTCCATTCTTCTTCCTTGAATGCATTTGCATGGGAAGAATTCACCTTTTCAAATAATTTACATTTTCATTTGCTAAGTAAGGCCCATCCTCCTATAATACTCACTAAAATTACTTGTGGCACTTTTAGGTTGAGACTGAACTCATCCTTCTGAATTATAGGTGAGCTCTTTCATTTTCCCGAGTGCCATTTCTTCTTTCCCCCTCTGCATAGTCCACTCACACATCTTTGTAGATGTGAAAAGATGGGGTACATTCCCATTTGCATAGCCATCTGTAAAAGTTAGTATCTTAAGGGAAATCTTTGTATACTCTAGTCAGATATACTGTATTTAGAACCTGATTTTTAAAATGATACTAGATTTACTAACCTCACCTATGAACTTTGGAGGTTAGAGCAATATTGGTTGGTCCCTTCTGCTGATCTTTGAGGTGAAGATGCTCTTTTTATATTCTTAATAGTAGTTTCTTTTTTTAATTTCAAGCCCAAACTGTGTTTTTCCTAGATCATTATGACGGAACCTTAATGATTCTAATTCTGAGATTGCAAAGGGAACATTGAAACAAAATCCATGAAATTCTCAGAATCCAAAAGTACTGTGTAATAAGTCCAATTTTAGAAATATATATTTGCTTGGGTAGATGTGTCCTTTCTTTCTTGTCCAAGTGTGAAAAATTTTACCTTGTCTGGTTTTTTAAATTAGAAATTAATAAAAATGCCATTTCTGTGATTTCATTAGCACAGCTGGCGATAATGTCAGTGTCCAGTAGTTAAGAACCCATCGTCATCCTAGTGAGATGGTGGAACTCATTAGTGAGAACAGCGCCTTGGCAGGCTGAGCCAGTCCAGTGAGATGTAGCTTCTGTGTGCGAGTAAGAATGCTCATTCAAGTGCTACATTGTTGAGGGACTTTCATAGAATGGTGAAAATTTGTTTTGATCCTAAGACAAGTAATTATGAAATGCTACCTCCTCTCCCCTTTCAAAACCTAAGCTTGTTTTATAAAAGTATAAACTATTATATAAGCAGTAGTAGAATTAATGCCACAAATATGGAATTACTATTTATAACTTAGGCTTAAAGAGAACAAAGTTCTTCCATTTTCTTTTTAAAATTTCCTATTTTAGTGTTGTCTGGAACAGTGGTAATCAGATATAAAGTAAAAGCTTAGCAAATCAGAGATTGTGCAAACATGTCCGTGAGAAAGGAGTAGAGAAACATCAAGTTCACCAGGGTAGAATGGGTAAATGCAGCCCTTCAATTCCCTTCCAACTGAATCTGGGCCTAAGGGGTACTTGGGGAGAAAGAGGAATGAGGTAGTTCTAAAAGCAGGTTTCAGAAAATCTATTTCTCAGTACTAAGCCTTCTGTTTACTAGTCCATAGACTGTTATTTGATTGATTGCAGAAGCCAACTCTCGGAGTCTGAAAGATCATGATTTTAGCCAGAAAAAAAGTTTAAGTGTTAGTAAATACTAAAGGTCAAAGAAAAACATAGGCGTCAAAAAAGCCACAATTATTGGGGAATCAGAGATTCCTAAGAATTGGGAAAGCCCAGAGTAGGAAGGTAGTAAGATGATTGGAGAGGGAGGCTGGCTTAATTCACAGATTTCCTGCAAACTTAGCTCTTTAAATGAGGGTTTTCCTGCTCCTTTTTTTTTCTTCCAGTTTTATTTATAATGGACAAACAACACTGTAAGTGTAAGGTGTACAGCATAATGACTTGACATATGTATATATTACAAAATGATTACCACAGTAAGTTTAGTTAACATCCATCACCTCAAAGTTACAAAAAAGTTTTTTTCCTTGTGCGTGCTCTTTTTTCATGGGACTGATAAAAAGGAGCTTATTCTTTAATATTCTTAGAATACTTGTGCTGAGGTTACATCAAAGCAAACAAATCTCAGGTTTAGAGGTTTGTGAGTTCATTTCAGCTGAAAAGACATCTATTCCATGCAATCACCTCATGGTTATGAGAAGACCGGATACAGTTTCTTTGGCTTCTCCTCCCAAAAGGATAAAATGAATTAGTTTTTGGTTCATTACTGAAGTTGGATTAGGAGACCTCTTTCAAAAATATGACAAGGGAGGGTGAAGGTGAGTGATAAAAGGTGACCTTGGATTCTGAAAATCCACTCATCAGAGGTCCTTGAGTACAAGTTCCTTACCCACCAGCTTTGCCTCCCTAAAGAAGACTGGTGCAGCACTGTAAAGCACACAGTATGTCTTTGGAAAACCTATGAGCTGACTATGAGCTCAGCATTCTCAGAAAATAAAGCCACATTTCTAAGTGTGCTTGGAATATACATGTTTTTAACCCATGTCAACTAGACTGTATAACTCCATCAGACATGTCTATATGCATTTTTATGTTTTAGCCCAATTTGGACGTTGGCTTGTTAAAAGTAAGCATCTGTTCATGGGAATGGGTGCTGACTAGATATATATGATCTAATTTAATATCCTAGGATGGATGAGACTTAGTTACACAGGCACATCTTCAGGTATGTGTGAGTAAATAATAGACCCTTTCCCCTCTGAAAAAGGAAAAGATAGGTTTGAAACTTGTATTTTATGGAACTATTGTGTTTTTGTTAAGAGAGGAATGGTATTAGAAAGAAAAGAAGCAGTGTCCTCTATTGTTAGTGCCACGTTTTCAATAGAGTTGCGACAGCCTAAAACCTGTTTTGGGCAGAGTGCTTGGGAAGAATCTTACCCTCCTCCCTCAACACAGAAACCTCTGTTGCTAACTTCAACCCCTGAGAATACTGGAAAACCTGGTGTGCTTGGATTTGCCCTCTTTGAGGAGCAGGGATAGAGGGGACAGCTAAAGATAAGGAGCTTATATTCTGTGTTTCCTGCCATCCTCCAGAATTGTGATGGCTTTTAAGGAGTTACAGACTTCAGAATCTGATTAAAACAGTGATGCCTCTCTCCAGAAATATGTACCAGTGAACGCAGGTTCTGAAGGGATCTATCAAAGCTTGGGGAAAATGCTCCAGATGCCAAGAACTGTTGTGCCTTCTGTCATAAAAGTTGGAGAAACCAGCACTCCTTTAAATCTGCCCCTGAACTTAAAAGCACCTGGGGGATACAGTGAGTTTGAGGCAGGTTAATACAAGGCACAGCTTGAAGGGGTGGGGATTAAAGAAGGGAGTTGTCCCTCTATTAATTGTTAGCTTCTTATCAAGTCATCTCTTAAAAGGCAAAAGACTATGTGAGGTGATGGTAGTGGTGTTAGTGGGAGCCGAGTTCTAATCCTGATATCCATCACTTTCAAGCCTTGTTTGCCTATATGGGGGGAAAAATATGTACTCTTTCCATTTCTACATATTTCACATATGCACTTAGAAACTAGGTAGACCTTGATTAAAATCCTGTCTCTGGTCTTTGCTGGCTCGGCTAGCAACTTTTTAATTTGAAAAGTAGGGATAAGCAGACCATCTTGCAGGGTGGTTATGACAGGGATAATATATATAAAATGCCTGGTTTGTAGTATGTGCTTAGTATAAGGTGGCTATGGTTATTAGGAGGAGGAGGATGAGATATGCGCTGGAGATTAGATGAATGTTCACCCACAGTTGTAACCTCTGTGTTGCAAAACTCTTGGAAAATTTCACTTTCCTAATCTATTTGGCAGACTTGTTGCTTCCTTGTGATCACTACATGCTGATGAATGTTACAGTACCCTAAACCTGAATCTGGGACTTAGGGTCAGGATTTCCTTTCTCTCTGCTTCTTCCTTTTTGCTCTGTTTTGAAAATGGTCAAGAAATGTGATTTGAATTTAAGCATTTAATCAGGCAGGAATAAGTAACTGAGCAAGTTGCTGCTTATCTAAATTCATCTTCCAAATTCATCTGAATTTAAAGGTTCAAGAATATGCATTCTGGTGTCTAGAGCTTAAAGTAATTAGAGCCATCACCCCTAAAGTTGTAAAATTTGAATACTATTGGTGGGGGTTTTTGTTGTTGTATGTGATACTGAAAAATGAAGCAAATTCCAAATGTCAGCTTTCAATGCCCATGCTATGATTTTTGTTTGTTTTTATAAAAATTATAAAGTTTAAAGTTTTTATTTTTAATATTTTGTGCCTTCTCTCTGTAAGCTCCCTCTTTTCTACTGCCTCACTTTTTTTCTCCCTCTCATTCTGCTCTCCTTACCCCACATAGATGTTAATAATGATATGTTTCCTATTAAGTACAGCAAAGTTTGAAGAACACATATAAATTATCACTGCTCCCTTGAAACAAAGTTTTTTTTAACTATATACGCAAAAGAGGAGTCCAGGATTCAAAAAGTAAAGATATTTATAGCCCTGACTGGTTTGGCTCAGTGGATAGAGCATCGGCCTACAGACTCAAGGGTCCCAGTTCAATTCCGGTTAAGGGCATGTACCTTGGTTGTGGACACATCCCCAGTAGGAGGTGTGCAGGAGGCAGCTGATTGATGTTTCTCTCTCATACATGTTTCTAATTCTCTATCTCTCTCCCTTCCTCTCTGTAAAAAATCAATAAAATATATTTTTAAAAAAAGATATTTGTAAATTTGTTCTTGTTTGCTTACCTTGCAGCAGTATATTCTATAGTTTTTCCCACAAATAGGAGGCCAGGAGGAAGCAAATAATATCTGTATAAAGGCAGTTTTTGTTCTAAGATTTCTTTTGTCTTTAAGCAATAGCATTTTATATATTGTTTTTTAAACAAGCTTTTAAGCTATTCAGATTATAATATTAGGTATTGCTACAGTGCAGTCGTGGGCAAACTACGGCCCACGGGCCGGATCCGGCCCGTTTGAAATGAATAAAACTATTGAAATAAAAGACCGTACCCTTTTATGTAATGATGTTTACTTTGAATTTATATTAGTTCACACAAACACTCCATCCATGCTTTTGTTCCGGCCCTCCGGTCCAGTTTAAGAACCCATTGTGGCCCTAGAGTCAAAAAGTTTGCCCACCCCTGCTATAGTGCATTCTAACGTGAAATGTTCTGAGTGGTTGACATTGACATTTCTTCTTCTCCTTCTAGGACACTTGGTGGTGTTCCCACACAGGCTCCTTCACCTCTCGAAGCAACCTCATCATCACAAATCATCTGCCCAGATGGGGTCACCTCAGCAAACTTTTACCCTGAAACTTGGGTTTATATGCATCCATCTCAGGACTTTATCCAAGTGCCTGTTTCTTCAGAGGACAAAAGCTATCGAATTATTTACAATCTTTTTCATAAGACTGTGCCTGAATTTAAATATAGAATTTTGCAAATATTGAGAGTCCAAAACCAGTTTCTTTGGGAGAAATATAAAAGGTGAGTCAGTAGCATGAAAAGTTTAAGGGAGCTTTTCTTAATATAGCTAAGGACAAGTGTGGAACCTAATAGTAAAGACTTGCATAGAAATTAATATGTTTGTGTTTTTTATATGTTAACTTTCATATAATCCTTATAACAGATCTGTAAGTAGGAGTGGAGTACTGCAGTCTACATTTTACAGAGAGGAAACTGAGTCATAGGAAAGGTTGGTAATTTGCCAAAGGACATACAACGAATAAGATGCTAGAATTTGGATCCTAGCAGTCTAGCACTAGATCTTGCTCTTAATTACTCTACTAGGCTGCCTCTCAAGTCAACAAAGAAATTAATGTAGTGCAAAAGGAATATATGTAGGTTTGAGGAATCTCATAATTAAGAGGCATTAGGTTGGTGAAATTGGACAAGGAAGGCATTCTGAAAAGGTAAAATGTGAAAACTAGTTTTAAGTGGAAGAGAAAGCATGTGAACAGTTAGTAGAGAAAACAAGAAAGGGCTTTTGTCTGCAGTGGAAATGATAAGCTTAAACTTTTAATGTGATCACTGATGGCATTTTGCCCTTTAAGATCTCTTCCCCATTAAAACCATAAGGAAGTTTATGATCACATCATGCCTTTTAAATTGATGCATACCTTCTTTCTTCTGAATTCCCTATCCACTCTTGCATTAGGAAAAAGGAATATATGAACAGAAAAATGTGTGGCCGTGACAGAATAATAAATGAGAGGCACTTATTTCATGGAACATCCCAGGATGTGGTAGATGGAATCTGCAAGCACAACTTTGACCCTCGAGTCTGTGGAAAGCATGCTACAATGTTTGGACAAGGCAGTTATTTTGCAAAGAAGGCAAGCTACTCTCATAATTTTTCTAAGAAGTCCTCCAAAGGAGTCCATTTCATGTTTCTGGCCAAAGTGCTGACTGGCAGATATACGATGGGTAGTCATGGCATGAGAAGACCTCCTCCCGTCAATCCCGGCAGTGTCACCAGTGACCTGTATGACTCTTGTGTGGATAATTTCTTTGAGCCTCAGATTTTTGTCATTTTTAATGATGACCAGAGTTACCCTTATTTTGTTATTCAATATGAAGAAGTCAGTAACACTGTTTCCATTTGAAAAATCTTGGTACTGTTAAATTATTTGATATGAACTCAATCCAGCATTTGTAGCAGGTTTTGGATGGGTGGGACAGAGTGGGAAACAGCATTGGACATTAATAGGGCACTTTTAAGACCCAATTTTTTAAGTGTTAGAAAGTAAAAAATTTTTTAAAGAAAAACAAGTTTTAAAATGACCACTTACTCTTTAATTATTTACTAATTGTTGTTAGTGTACTCAGTGTGGGAAAGACTACAGATTGCATACTCTTCATTCACACTTGTACATATAGGCAGCAATGTTATTAGAAGCATTAAAAAAAAAAGAGCCTAACTAATTGAATGTGACTTAAGCCTGGTAGAAGTTTGGCCAAATGAAATGGAAGCTGTGAACAAAGTGAGGATTTGGTATATTTACAGTGATAAAACTGACTGGAACTAGTATTATCATACGTACTCCCTGTCCAAAGTGGAAAGAAATATTTCTATCAGCCAGACTGACATGTATCACCGAACCAAAGCGTACCAGTGACTTCAACTTTTGCAGAGTTTGCCTGAGAATTCAGAGTTCTGTTTAGAGAGGAAGTTTTAGAAAAGGAACTATTTGAAAAATTTTTGTCATCAGCAAAATTTTTCACTAGCCAGTTATATGTGATTCTCGTGTTGTTACACTTCAGCCTTGGAAAAAGTCTCTCCCATTATCGTTCACTCAGTTTGAAGAAGTTGGGCAGCTAATTTGGTCAAAGCCAGTTTTGAAGATTAGGAGTATTACTTTATTTTAGGGTTCCAGAGGTAGGCCCTGACAAGGTTTTAGAGAAAGCAAGTATATCTGTAAGCAGATTGATAGGGCTTATTACTGTGCTTTGCACAAAGTAGACTCTCAAAAGTATTTGCTGACTTGGAAATATTGTTAAAGGTGGTAATCCCACCCCTATGCCTGCTTTGCCAGATGCAGCTGGGTTTCCTGGCTAGCTCTGTATTTTACACTACTTAATAGAAACACAAACTTGGAAGTTGTGCTACTGGCCCAGCTGGAGCAGTGTTAGATGAATATGCTGACATCTCAGTTCAGAGAGGTAGCAGCGAGGTTTACTTTGCCTTAAGCAAAGCAAACACCTGGATTTACAAAAGTGGAAGTGGCTGTTCACAAAAGAATTCACAGAATTCCTTCAGATCCCGAGCTTTTTTAGTATCTTGTGGTCATTTCATTTACACAAAACTTTTCAGGAACTTCTGTGTTATTTAAAGCAAGATATATCTATATTGATGTCTCAGTGAATCAGTCTGTTTAAACACTTTTCAGGGCTTCCACACCATTATTTATTTTGCTCTAGTTGATCTTGTTTGCTGCCATTGGCATGAAGCGGCCAACTGTGGCTGTTACAGTTGTTGTTTCAATTAGAACTTGTAAACCTGTGATTCCCAATCTTTTTCAAGTTAAGACACCTTGCCATTGCTTATTTGATTTTATGAAACTTGTTCCTTTTTTCTCCCTAAAGAAAAAAAAAAGCTTTATGATATATTTATTTTTTTAATAAAACTAAGCAAAAATAAAAGCTCTGGTAATTCTTTAAAACTTTTTGCTTCGGTTCCATTTAAGATAACTGAATTCAACACATAGTAGATGATCTATAAGTGACGGTTGGTTGGTTGATTGGTTGGTTGAATGAGTGATTGAATGAGCAGAACTAACCAGAACCAGCTGCTTAAAATGTGTTCTCTGGGAATCAGCAGAGAGGATATTATCTAACAGTCGACTAAGTCACCAGAGAAGAGTGAATATTTTATTTTGCAGGTAAGTATTTGGGGCATCTTAAAAGGGACATGTTTTATATCAGCAAACAGCTATAGTGCAAAATATGAAGGGTTGTCCCTTCCAACAGGTGCTGAAGGAAATAGAAAAAGGAATATAGAAATCTTGTCAGCTCTCAAGCACCTTAACTTTCAGCCAACTTAGTCATCTGATTGGTAAATGTGAGCATCTGACAGTATTTAACCTTCAGTGTAATAATTTTGAAATTCCTATATAGTATTGTATGTTGTTTTATCTAAGCAAGAACTATGGAGTCAGCCCAGCCAGCATGGCTCAATGGTTGAGCATCAGCCTATGAACAGGAGGTCCCAGTTTGGTTCCTGATCAGTGTACATGTCCAGGTTGTGGGCTGTGGGCTCTATCCCCAGTGTGGGGTGTGCAGGAGGCAGCCAATCAATGAATATCATTGATGTTTCTGTTTCTTTCTCCCTCTACCTTCCTCTCTGAAATCAATACAAATATATTAAAAAAACAAAACAAAAAACTGTGGAGTCAGTCTCAATTATATAATGGTTCCATGGATTTAAAACATACTGAAAGGCATTCAGTAAATCTTTATCCCTACTTGCCCGGCTATAATTTATACCATTTCAGAAAGTTGGAACTTGCTGTTAATTAAACTATGGTAAAGATTTCTAAGGAGAGTCTGCAGACTCCCCAAGATATTTCAATGCCATACAATCCTATATACAGGACAGTTTTTTTATGTGTTAAAAACTTACAAATATTGGATCCTGTGTAATTATAAATTGTAAAACTCTGTGCTATTAGCCTGAAACCTGTTTATTTCGTAAATTATTATTTAGATATAAAAATAAGTCCTGAAATGCTGATATTTATAGGAATTTTTATTATACTAAGCCTAAAGAGAATATAGTCAACACCCAAACTGTACCTGTCAGTTTAAATCAGAGTATTTTTTTCCTCTTAAGGAAGGTAAGATGACCACAAAATGTTTACAGTTTTTCTTCATTGGGATCAAATAGTCAAAATGCATAGAAAATTCAGTATGACACTTTTCTAACATCTAATTCACATCACTTAAGTTGCTATTATGTGATTAAAAAAAAAAATTGTATCTTCCTCTTCTGTGTTTGACAAGTCACTTAACCTTTCATGTGGTTTCTCATCCTTGAAATAGTGGAAATAGTGTGCGTTGTTTCTTTTTTTTTCTTTTTTAAGACTACAAATGAGCCCAGCTGACGTGGCTCAGAGTTGAGCATGGATCTATGAATCAGGAGGTCACGGTTTGATTCCTGGTCATGGCACATGCCTAGATTGGGGGATTGATCCCCAATGGGGGGAGTGCAGGAGGCAGCTGATCAATGGTTCTCTGACATCATTGATGTTTCTATCTATCCCTCTCTCTTCCTCTCTGAAATCAATAAAGAACGAAAAAAAAAGTTGCTTGCTTTAAAAATAAGTAAATAAAAAGACTACAAATGATAAGAATGTTCCCACTCTGGGACCCTACAATGCAAAAATTTCTTGTAAAGTGCTATACAACTGATAGCATTTATTTACAAATTAAAAGCTAGACATTTTCTTAGAAAAGATAGTGTTGGGTTTTAAAAACAGACCCATCTAGTTTATTGATTTAGGCACTCCTTCAGGCGAGTTAAAAAAAGGAAATGAGACTTTTTTACCTTTATCTTGCTAAACTTACTCTTAAGCTATCATTGCAGAAAGAAAAAGATGCTATTGAAAGGTTCATCAGAATTGTTAGTCTTAATATATTGCTCAACTCCTCAGCATCTATTGGGAGACTCACTTCTGAATAGAACTTTCAGATGACAGCTGTTTTAAAGCTTTAATCTTATATGAGTGGAAACATGGGTGTACCAGCAGTATTTTGTGCCCACTGCTAAATTCAAGTTAGAGCAGAGGTGCCCAGCCACTTTGAGGATATCAGAATTTCACACTTAATTGTACTGAAGTGCCTAATGATTATTAATAACATGCAAAATGACCAAAAGCTTCTATGAATTCAGTGATATTTTAAGCACATTTGTATTACTCATCACAACCATATCAACATTTGATATGGAGGATATAATCTGCAGACAACATTTGGTACTCAAATGGATTAATGGACTCCTTACAATAACTTCCACATGTTGCTAGAATTTACAGCCAATAGGCTGAAAATTACTGGGCTAGACTTATCTATATTTAGCCTTTTATAACTATCATCTTAATTATATTCTATCTTAAAATAGCCTTAAATCAGACAGCTAAGAGTTTCAACCCAGTGTTCAAGAGCCTCTAACCCTCCTAATACTTAGGAAGTCTTAGGTGACAAATTGTCATTTGGGCCCTATGTTTAGATACATCAGCTGCACTTATAAGTGTTTCACAGTACATTGAGGGCTGCCTCTAACAGATTTGAGTGGCAAGAGTACATTAAACAGATGCTACTCAATTGCATGATAATGTGGGACTTTTTAATGCTAACAAATTCTTGTGCAACCATCGGTTTATAAATTGGGTTTGAATAGCAGTGGTGAGTTTTTGGGTTTTGTGCATTAAGCCACACTTTTCTGACAAAAGTCCTATTGAAGGTTTGCATTTCATAGCATCTTGGTCAAGGGTCTAACACAGTTTTGTTTTTTTTTTTAAATTTATCTTGTTGAAAGTATTACAGGTGTCCCCTTTTTCCCTCCATTGACCCCTTCTACCCTGTACCCTCCACCCCCAGGCCTACTCCACTATTGTCTATGTCCATGGGTTATGCACATAGTCTCTTAAGCTAAGTGCAACAAACTGTTCCATTTAGGAGTAGCAACCATAAATCTAATTAGCATTGGTCTCAATGATCTAAGCTAACTGAACCCAGTAAGTACAAGCTTTCCTTCCAGTGACTCAAATGTAGCTGAATTTATTCTAAATGCAAATTTCTACCCATATGACTATATTTTTGTAAAAATACATTTGTAATCTCATAATTAACTTGTAGGCATATACAAGTCAGTGCTTGATAGGAGTGGGAATGCAGATTTTTCTATCATTATTACTCAATTTTGTGATGAATTACTGTCATTATCAGCAATGGCTTAGTCACAAGCCTGTCTCAGAAAGTTACACAATCTTAGTATGTGGTTTATGAACTAATTGAGATGAAGAATGTAAAGCAGTTAGCATAGTTCCTGGAAAATTTTTGCTAGCAGTAGTAATAATAGAAGTAGTGGTATGGGAGGCTGAATAAGACATCCTATTCCAAATAAAGACTTGGTATGCCCCTAAGATATCCAAGTCCTAATCATAGGAATTTGTGAATATGTTGTCTTAGAAGGCAAAAGAGGCTTTGCATATGGGATTAAATTAAGGGTCTTCAGATGGGGAGATTATCCTGGGGAGCCCAATGCAATCACAAAGTTCTTTTTTATAAGAGGGAGACAGAAGGTCAGGAAGAAATTGGAAGATGCTATGCTGCTGACTTTGTAGATGAAGGATGAGGTCATGAGCTAAGAAATGCAGGTGGCTTGATCTAGAAGTTAGAAAAAGTAAGCAAACATTCTACCCTAGAGGCTCCAGAAGGAACACAGCCCTGCTGTCACGTTGATTTTAAGACTTCTGACCTCCAGAACTACAACATAATAAATTTGTATTGTTTTAAACCACTAAGTTTGTGGTTTGTAACAGCAGCAATAGGAAGCTAATACAAATAATAACAAATAACATCATTATGTTGAAGAATCTTTAGGAAGTTATCCTATATAATAAAAGGGTAATATGCAAATCGACCAAATGACGGAACGACCGGTAGCTATGGCATGCACTGACCACCAGAGGGGCAGAAGCTCAATGCATGAGCTGCCCCCCTGGTGGTCAGTGTGCTCCTACAGGGGAAGTGCCGCTCAGCCACAAGC